GATATTTTGCTTGGTAATATAGAAAAGATCAATAGAAGAGAGGAAGATTCCCAGCAAGATGGATTGGCACAGGACTGGGGAATGTTTTATTCTGTTGTGCATAGGATCACTAAGAATCAGAACCAACTTGACAGCACCTAACAACAACAACAATGCACAAATTCCAAGTGTGGCACTGTAGGATAAGCACTGGACTGCTAACCACAAGGCTGGTGCTTCAAACCCATGAGCCACTCTTGGAAGCCCTAAACAGGATCATTGAGTCAGAACCACAACAATAATGCACAAATTCATTATTTCCTGCCTAGGCCTCCCAGTGAAATGTACATGCTCGTACAAACGTCTACTTGTCTTTCTTGGGATAACTGTCATCTCAAATATCATGTCTAAAATTGATTTCTGATTGTCCACCAAACTTGTTACCTTTAACTTCTCTATATATCATGCTAAATTTATCATTAATCCCTAGTAGTATTAACTTCAAAATATATCACAGAATCCAACTGCTTCTTCTTACCATTACTACTAGAATCACCCTGGTCCAAAGCCATCATCACTTCTCACATAACTAATAATTAATTAATTCTTTTCCACTCTTGCCCCACCTCACCCCTCTGCACTCCATTCCAGATACAAAGACCTTGTAGACTTTGCGTATACTGCCTCCCTTAGGCCTTAGCACTTACTATTGTGGGACACTCCTCCCCTAGATAACCAGATGGCCTCTACTTCTCCTATGTGGTTCTTTGCTCATATTTATCTTTTCAATGAGGCCTCCTCTAACTTGATGTTGCACATAACCTTTCCTTTTTTTTTCTCTATAGTGCCTACCTGACATAATATAGTTATTAGTTTATTTTATTGTCTGTTTCCCCCCCACTAGAATGTAAACTCTATGGTTAAAGATTATAGTTTCTTTTTTATCACTGTTTATACCCTTAGCATCTATCTACACAGTGCCTCACAATGAAGAGATACTCAGTAAACACTTAACGAATGGTGGTGGTTGCGTGCCATCACGAGTCAATTCTGACTCAAAGAGACCGTGTATACAGTTTCTGAAGTTGTAAATCTTTACAGAAACAGAAAGCCTCATCATTCTCCTGTGTAGATTCGAACTGCTGACCTTGAGGTTAGCAGCCCAGTCATAATTCACTACACTACCAGAGATCCTACTTACTAAATAAATATGTTGAAATGCTGGTAAAAATGTACCAGTAGCTAGAAATTTGAAGTCACCCTATATTCACATCTAATCATCTGCCAAAATCTTACCACTTTTACCTCTTAAATGTTTTGTTACTGCGTTCCTTTCTTTTTACCTTCTACATGATGTTCAATATCTTTTACTTGGACTACTATAAAAAATCTTTCACAGTGGTAATCCTGAAGCCTACTCTGCAGGTTCATCTTCTACCATATGGCTAAAGTGACTTCAGAGAACAGGACAAAACAATTCTTCTTCCCTTACCCTTAGCGAAAAGGAGCTCTGGTAGCATAGTCATTATGAATCGGGCTGCTAATCTCAGGGTCAGCAGTTCGAATCTACCAGCTGTTCTGTGATAGAGAGACGAGGCTTTCTGCTCCCGTGAAGATTTACAGCCTCAGAAACCCTGTACAAGGTCAGGGACCAACTCCACGGCACATAACCACCACCACCACCACCCCTGGCTAAAAGAGAAATCTTAAATGTCTAGCTACCAACCACCAGAAGCAGAGGTTAGCAAACTTTTTTTTTTCAAGGACCAAACAGTAAATATTTTATTTAGGTTTTGCAGGCCTCATGGTCTCTGTCTCAACTGCTAAACTTTAGCACTAGGGAGCAAGTGCAGCCATAGAATATGTACAGAATGAACAGAGCTATGTTCCAATAAAGCTTCATTTACAAAAACAGTAAGTGGGCTGGGTATATCCCCATGACCTAGAGGATAATTAAATTCCTTAGTATGGATTACAAAGTGGTAATTGATGTCTGGCTATCTCTAATGTCTTGGTATAGTGCTGCGGGTTAATGCGCTGGACTGCACAGTTGGTTTTAACTGCAAGGCTGGTGGTTCAAGCTCAATAGCTGCTTCTTGGAAATCCTACATAGGGTGGCTATGTGTTGGAACTAACTTGACAGCACTTAACAACATTTCTAATGTCATCTCCCAATCTTCACTTCATACTTTGCACTCTGTTGCACTACTCATCCATCCACAAACATATTATACCTATGCGGTTTGTTCATATGATCCTTCCAATCTTCTTTTTCTGATTAACTCATACTATTTAAGGAGCTCTGGTAGGGTAGTGGTTATGAATCGGGCTCTGAACCGCAAGGACAGCAGTTCGAAACTACCAGCTGTTCTGTGGGAGCAAGATGAGGCTTTCTGTTCCTGTAAAGATTTACAGCCTCGGAAACCCTGTACAGGGTTGTTATGAGTCAGAACCGACTCCACGGCATATAACAACAACAACATTTAAGACTTGGCTCAGGTAATTATCTCTATTAAGAAGCCTTCCATGAACTCTCAAGTTAAATGTCCCTCTTTCATCTTCCCCAAACCCCTAATGTATATACGTTTATATTACAAATACCATGATATATTGGTATTTTGTCTAAATACCCATCATCAGTTTGTAAACTCTTGGTAGGTGTTAGCTGTATCTCTCACTTTCATCAACTCCAGTATCTAGCATATAGTAAGCATTTAACAAATGCTTTTTAATTGAACTGAAAGTTCCTCTTAATAAAAAAGCTGAAGATGAGTAAACATGCTGACTCCAGCACAAGAAGTTGCGCCAGAAAATAAGACATCAAACATTAACAGCATTATGAGTATTGATTAAACTGTTGTTAATTAAATGCTGTTGAGTTGGTTCTCACTCATAGCAACCCTATATAGGAGGAACAGTTGGTGTATTTTGAAACGCTGACCTTGTGGTTTGCAATCCAATGCTTATCCTGCATCACCAGGAGTCCATAGTTTAAATGGTCCTTCTAAAAAATTTGATTCAAAGTGTAATGTAGTGAATTATTTAATGAAATCTATTAACCACAGTCTTTGTAACCCCAACAAACAACTTTTTTCCTGATGGGTCTGAGTTAAGAAAAGGCCGGAGAAGATGCTGATGGATTATATGATTCAGTTTGTGATTTTTAACATAGCTAACTGTGATTGGTCAATTTTGCCATCTTGCTTGGTATAAAATGAGCTAAATCAGTAGCAGAGGTGGGACTGTCACTGCCAACACGGAAGAGCCAGGAGTGGAATGTGTCTTTTGGACCCTGAGGTCCCTGGCACATTGAACTTCCTCAATCCAGTAGTCACCAGTGAGCATACCAGGCTCCTTTAACTGTCAGTTCTAGAATGGGGATTTATCTGCTGGACACAGACTTTTCCTGCAAACCACTTGCTAGAAATAAAAACAAAACAAAACAAAAAAACACTTTATTTTTTTCTTCCCTTCAGGCTTTTCCTTTAAATGTAAATCTCTTGTTCTTTCTGTAGTTCTGGGTGTGGCTTAGGTTTCCACCTAAGCCCCCATACTCTATACATTGTTGTTGCTAAGTGCCATCAAGTAGATTCCGACCCATAGCAACACTGAACAGGGTTTCCGAGACTGTAAATCTTTACAGGAGCAGAAAGCCTCATCTTTCTCCCGCGGAGCACTGGTAGTTTTGAACTGCTGACCTTGCGGTTCGGAGCCCGATTTGTAACCACTACGCTACCAGAGATCCTGATTAGGTTACTTAAAATAAAGCCTTCTTTCCAGGCAATTCCTAACTTCCTTTTTATAGCATATCAAGTCAGGCACAGGCTGAAGGAGGGCTTACAAGATCTCTATAACATAAAACATTTCATATCCTGCAAGATCCACCACTTGTACTCTTTCACCATACTATTCAACTTATATGCTAAGCAAATAATCTGAGAAGCTAGCTTGTATAAAGAAAAATGTGGCATCAGGATTGGAGGAAGACTCAACAACCTGTGATATGCAGATGATACAACCTTGCTTGCTGAAAGTGAAGAGTACTCAAAATATTTACTGATGAAGATCAAAGAGCACAGCCTTCGATGTGGATTATATCTCAATGTAAAGAAAACTAAACTCCTCATCACTGGACCAATAAACAACATTCTTATCCATGGAGAAAAGACTGAAGATGTCAAGGACTTCATTCTTCTTGGATGAACTACCAACACTATGGAAGCAGCAGTCAAGAAATCAGATGATGTACTGCATTAGGCAAATCTGCTGCACAAGACCTTTTTCAAGTGTTGAAGAGCAAAGATGTCAGCTTGAAGACTGAGGTGCGCCTGACCCATATCCATGTGAAAGCTGGACAGTGAATAAGGAAGACCATAGACAAACTGATGCTTTTGAGTTGTGGTGTTGGAGAAGAATACTGAAAGTGCCATGGGCTGCCAAAAGAACCAACAGATCTGTGTTGGAAGAAGTGCAGCCAGAGTGCTTCTTGGAGGCCAGGATTGCCAAACTTTGTCTCTCATACTTCGAACATGTTGTCAAGGAGGGACCAGTGGCTAGAGAAGGATATCATGTTTGGTAAGGTGGAGGGTCAGAGAAAAAGAGGAAGACCCCCAGCGAGATGGAATGTCAAAGTGGCAGCATCAAGGGGCTCAAGCGTAGCAATAGTTGTGAGGTTGGCCCAGGACTAAGCAGTGTTTCGTTCTGTTGTGCATAGGGTCGCTATTAGTCAGTACCAACTCAATGGCACCTAACAACAACAACCCTGCAAGATACCAAAATTGGCCAGTCAAAATTAGCTTTGTTAACAATCACTAACAATTGAATCATATAACACTTTAGCATCTTCTCCGACCTTTCCTTATCCAGACTCATCAAGAAAAAACTATTTGGTGTAAGTTTACAATAAAGTAATACAAAGACATGAAATAATTCCTGCACTTCACAAAACAAACACTAGTATTTAAGAGTGATCAGAGACTAGAATCTTTAAGTCATATGTCAAAATGTGAATTAAGACTTACTTCAACACGAAGAGCCAGTTCTACTTGGTTGTGATAAGAATCTAAGAGTTCTTCAACAGGATGTCTAAAAAACAGAACAGTTATTAAAGCTGAAGGCATGAAGGTATTATATACAAAAACTGTTTTAGTCTTCAAAATAAATGTATTCATGTCCAAAAAAACAGTTTAAAAACCTACAATTATGCTTTACATGTTATACCTTGTCATGACTTCTTTATAAGGCTTTTCTATTTGATTCAGGTGTTTGTTTAAATCCACAGGTGTTTCATCATCTTCTGCCTAAACATATACACAAATGTTTACAATAAAAATCAAATGCACTCTTTGGTCTTCCGATTGCCAAATTAAATATAAGTGTAAACCCCAAAACCTAAACCTAGTGCCAAACTGACTCATAGCAACCATATTGGACAGAGAGAGTAGAACTGTCCCATAGGATTCCAAGGCTGCAAATCTTTACAGAATCAGATACTCACATCTTTCTTCTCAGAGTGGATGAGGAGTTCCAATTTTCCATCTTTTGGTTAACAGCAGAACTCTTTAACCCCTTTAAGTCACTAGGACTCCTTGGTATTAAGAGGTAAAATCTTAAAAGTGATTTTTCAAAACTGAAAATTAAGCATTGACTCAGGGAAAAAAAAGTGAGTCAATATTCTAACAAAAATTTGTTTTTTAAACGTAACACTATCAAAGCTTTTAAGTCTAATTCTTGATATATACTTTGCTTCCAAAACAAAACCACATCTGTTCTATTTAGAGATAACAGAGAGCTAAAAAAACTTCCAAAGATGGCTGACAGCCAAATTAAGATGCTTAGGTACCAGACAGAAATGAGGTCATCTGAATTTCTAATCTATATTTTTTTCTAATGATGATCAAGTCCATTACCCTTCAATTCCACATCTCCATAAAAAAGGTAGTGGTGTCTTTTACCTAAGTCATGACTAAGCAAATCTAACTATTCAAGAAAATAGTTTCTTAAAAAATTGGAAAGAGAAACTATCAATGACTGATTGCTAAAATGTACTGAATTTTGTGAAATTTCCCCGCAACTGAAAGAAATTCTATCAACACTGAAGCAAAATCCAAGAAAAGAAAATGAAGAAACAAGTGATATTTTTCCATCCAAAATTTTACCATATGAAGGCCCATTCTCTTTGTTGGTGGTAGGTGCTGTAAAGTTGACTACACACAGAGGGAAACTTTGCCTGCTCTCACATCACCCTTCAATTGTTCTTATGCTTGAGCCCAATGCTTAATAATCTCTTCAAAAACTATACAAACTTTATTTATAAAGGTTTATATAGCAATCTTGTTTGTTCAGGTGCTGTTAAGTCAATTCTGACTCATAGTGATCCAGTAAGGGTTTCCAAGGAGCAGCTGGTGTACTTGAATAGCTGACCTGTGGCTACCAGTCCAGTGCTTATCCTTCAAATACCACATCAGGAGACCTATACAGCAATATAATGATCTAATTTCCTATATTCTATTTTGTTTGATCTCAAAAGAAATGCTGTAGTTTAAAAACACAGAATTAATTTTTACTTTATGTAAAATAATGTATTATTTTCAATTGATGCAAAGGTCAATATGAATCTTGATTTCTTCAACCCATTATTTTTACTCTAAATATTTTCTTCTTCATTTCTTCTGAAGGACCTTGACATTTTCATTCTTGGGTAAAACTAATTTCTAATTCCTCCCCTTCAAGTTTCAAATATGGTGTTAGCCTGAGTACTATGCTATCTAAACCCCAATGACTGAAGAGTCCCCTATCTGCTAAAAGACTCCTATTGAGGATAGAGATCCTCATCCTTACAACCTAGAAGTTTTAGGGAGTGTACAAGTTACAAATCAGCTAATTAGTAGATTTATTTCTGAATAACTCAACCCACAAAGCCAAAACATACAGATTTGATAAAATGTGCTTTAGTTATAAGGTATACTTACTGTTCGGGCCAAATTTTGGCACACTGCACTGAAGGTCAAGAGTTGTAGTTTAATCTCTGTGTCCCATTTTCGACAGTTTTGAATGTATTCGTGACTTCCAAGGCAATAATCACTATTATAAATACATGAATAATTCACCAGTATTATTCTACTCAAGATACATATTTTAGAGGTGATGGTCAAACATAAATCACATCTGCATTAGACACGGAACAGAATGGTCAAATATAGAAAATAGTCTTATAGCCAAGAAAGCAGTTAGAGAAATATTTCTGTATGAGAAGAATCAAGGCAAACAAGAAAGATGAAAAACATGACGATAAGGGTAGAAACAAAGGAAAATGAAAAATAAGGTTTAATAGCAAAAAAGGATAGAAGCTGTAGCAAAACTAGACTAAATGCAAATACAACAAATTACTTGGTTAAGAGAGGAATCTTAGAAAACAAGATTACATAAAACAAAACATAAATCCTTTCAAAAAGAAGAGTTATATATTGATATTCAGGCAATTAAGTAAATGACAACTGACTACAAACTAACAGTGTGTGTATGCTACAGGAGGAGAATGGAGTCTATAATGATGTGATCATTTATTGATTGAGAAAGAAAATAAAACGCTAAATTCAATGCTCAATCGTCAACCATTCTTCCTTATGAACTCTGTCCACCAAAACAATGTCTTAGACATATCTGAATACAAGTTTTCTGAAACAATTCAACAGGACTTTAAGTAGTTTTTAACTGAAAATGTAACATAAAATATTTCTACAATCAAAAAATGGGCACAGGATATGAACAGACACTTCACCAGGGAGGAGATCCGGGCAGCCAACAAACATATGAAGAAATGTTCATGATCACTAGCCATTAGAGAAATGCAAATCAAAACAAGAATGAGATATCATCTCACACTAGCAATAACAGCAAAGATCAAAAAAGTTGAGGACAATAAATGCTGGCAGGGATGTGGAAAGACTGGGACACTCCTGCATTGCCGGTGAGACTACAAAATGGTCCAACCTCTCTGGAAAGCAATATGGCATTTCCTCAGAAGGTTGGAAACAGAAATACCATTCGATCCAGCAATTCCTCTACTGGGTATTTAAACACAAGAAAAAACAAGCCACAACACACCAATGTTCATAGCAGCACTATTTACAATAGCAAAAAGATGGAGACAGCCAAAGTGCCCATCAACTGAAGAATGGATAAACAAGCTGTGGTACATACACACAATGGAGTATTATGCTACCTCGAAAAATATCAAGGAAGCTGCATGCCACTTCCTAACATGGATGAACCTTAAGGACATTATGTTGAGTGAAATTTGTCAGTCACAAAAGTAAAAATACTACATAGGACCACTACTGTAAAAGACTAAGAAAAAGAACCCACACTAATCCACTAAAGTGGATTCTTAGCTGGTTGCTAGGATGTAGGGGAAGGGTTAGGGGTGGGAGGGGAAGGTGGAGCACAGGGCAGGGAATAGACACAGGATAATTTGGGTATTGGGGAGGGGCAATATACAAGTAGGGAGAGGGCAACGGAAGAATAAAGCAGATGGAAGAACAATTAGACAGGTATGAATGGGCTAAATGGAAAAGAGGTAAAAAATGATGTAGGCACAGCTTTAGAACAACAGGGCACTGGGATACAGAGACTGAGACATGGTTGGAATGGGGAAAAGGGGGGAATAATGTTAAGATGCTTGGCTGTCTTTTGAACCTTGGTTATCCGTGTATTATATTATAAAACAAACACTGGAGGGGAAGAGAAAGGAATAGCCAGAAATATTACCATCAAAAGCTTGTAAGTCCGACTTCTGCCTGTAGTTGATTGGAATACCTAAAATGGGGCTACAATGTGTCTAGTGAAGGAGGTTTTCTGAGAAGCCTCTGCATTACATAAGACTATAGGTGGAAGCCTGAACCACATCCAGACCTTCAGAGACAGGAAATTTTCTACTTGAAAGGACAAGCTGACAAGCCTGGATTAGCTAGACCAGAAGATACTTCTTGAAAGAAAGGCCTACAGGAAAAATACAAAACAGTAAGGGCAGTCTGACTGTTACCACAAGAACAAGCAAGTTGCTTGCCCAGGAGACATCAAGGCAAGTGGTCGGGTCCTCTCAGTGCAAATCCTCTTCCAAAACTAAGACGCAATGGAAATACACACTCTGATTGGCGACCACGCATGTCATCCATAAGGGGAAGTGACTGAAGAACATCAATGAAGCGGCGAGCTAAGCCCTACATCGTTCAGCAGACAACTGTGAACCCAGGCGGAGACCTGGTTGGCCAGCAGCGAGGCAAGACCTGGGGATTCATAGGCTCAGAGTCAATGACGCAGCCACAGAGGACTAGAGTGGAGAGCGAAGCGGCCAGCTGATAAGAAGAGGGCGGACAGACGAAAGAACACCCACAATTGCAGATGATACCCACTTGACCTGGCTTCAATGCCTGGATGAACAGAGCTCAATCCAAAGAAGAAAGAAGAGGAAAAAAGTGTTATCTGATACAATTTGATAAATTTGACCTACACCTATAAATGCAGTAGCTCAGAAGAGGAAACAAATCCCTGTTGCAAGAATTATTCCCACACCCTCCACACAAAGACTAGACAGGGATGGGCAACTTGGACATTGGCTTCCCAAAATGGGGGGAGGGATACAAAGGTAAGAAGTGACTGGCTTTTAAGCTTTCAAAAGGGAACCTAGAGCCAAAGGGCGTGGAGGAAGGTAGAGTCTCCAGCGTGTCCAGGAAGGGCGGATGAAATGAAATGCAGATGGGTCTCTGTGATGCAATAGTGAATAATTGTTATCAGGACTGACTGTGAGGGTTGGAAATGTAAAGGTGGACATTTTATAGCTAGGAGGGGAGTGATTAACTTTTCAGTCTAGAAGCGGAGGGCCCTGGAACCATCAATGGAGAAGAGCGGAGAGTGGAACCCTACCCAGAGAAGCAGTGAGGTCTGAGAAGGAGGCAGAAAAGATGACATGAAGAGATGGAGTGGCTGGGGACTTGAGATCCAGAGAGGGAAAGGGGCTGTGTGCTGAGGACCGTGGGTGTTGGGGGGGTCGGGGGAGGAGGCAGCAGGCTTGCAGGGTATACTCTTTGGTTGGGTGATGATGTATGGATGGGATGGTAACTATGGCAATGAAACAATGTATGATAGAATGAATGTAAAACTAATGTTCTCCCATGTAAACTATCAAACAATTCACAATAAAACATTCATTTAAAAAAATTTTTTTTCTAAGTTAAGCCATTAAAAATGGAGTTTCCAGGAAACAAGTGTAAATTGCTATAATTTGACGAACTTGACCTATACTTATGGATGTAGTAGCTCAAAATACCAACTGAGAGGGAAGGCATCTTTACATCAAGTATCAATGCTATCTATCCCCTCTGTATACAGGATTGATAGGGACAGGCAACATAGACACTGGCTGCCTAAAATGGGGAGGTGGGGTGGTGGTCTATAAAGGCACAAAATGATTGGCTTACAAGCTTTTAAGAGGGAGTTTCATTTCAGAGTGTGTGGGGTTAGGTAGAATCCCCAATGAATACTTTTCATTTTGTCTAGATGGGTCTGGTGAAAGGAAATGGGGATAAGATTCTTATGATTCAATAGTGAGTAACTGTTATGACTAACTGCAACTGTCACAACTGTAAAGGTAGAAGTTTTGTAACATAAAGGGGGGAGTAGTTAATTCAACATTCCAAGAACAGAGGACCCTAGGACATCAAGGGAGAAGAGCACAAGTGGAATGTGGGACCCTATATAGAGAAGTAGCCACACCAGAGATGAAGGCAGAGATGAGGACATGGAGAGATAGAGCAGTTGAGGACACTGGACTCATGAAAAGAGAGGGACTGGGTGCTGGCAGCCAGGAGGCAAGCTTGCAGAATATTACCTTTGGTCCTTTAAGTTATTATATATTCCTGAATGTTTTTGTGTACATAAAAACAAAACAAAAAACAAACCCAGAGGGAATAATAGCAAATACTGTTGAATGATGATGCATGGAAGGGATTGTAATCATTGTAATTAAATGAAATACCATAGGATGAGTGTGAAATTGATGTTCTCCCTTGTAAACTATTACTTAATTCACAATAAAAACTTAAAAAGAAAAAAAGGAGTTTCCAAAGATATTGCTTAATAGTTAAATAAACTTACTTCTGCAGCACTTCCTCTTGACCGCAAACTTTCAGAACATAGCTGCCAACATCTACTTGATTCAAGTCATCATGTACCCAGCAAAGGGCTTGCATTATAATGATTTCTACAGTAGAACTCACTATAAAAGAGTTAATCATCATTTTCATTTTGCTCATTTAACTCTAAGCATACTTATTCACATTAGCAAAACACAACAAAATATAATGTGAATCACAAATTCAGGCCAATATATAATTTTAATCTCTTAGTTGTTGTTGTTGTTATGTGCCGTGGAGTTGGATCTGACTCATAGCGACCCTATACAGGGTTTTCAAGGCTGTAAATCTTTATGGGAGCAGAAAGCCTCATCTTTCTCCCGCGG